GCTATCAACAATAATCCGGGTCGGACCGATTCGTTCTTCTTCCGTCAGTCGAGGGTGGATGTTTCAACGGATATTCGCGGGGAAACATTCGTTCTTCGGAGTTTCAGTCGGTCTATGCCGACATAAACAAGGTTGGCAGCCAATTTCGACCGTAAATGAGAAAAATGACGATTTTTGCGATCATCCAGAGGTTCTCCTCTCGTAGAACAAAATGCCGACCGGAAGTTCTGTCGTCTGACTGACCAAAGATCTCAGGAGTGACTCCCTCCATCGGCGCCAAACAAAATGCCATGCAGCTTTACAGTCTAATCCGCTAGAGAGCGCTATGACACAAGTTTCTCCTCTCTGGCAGCGTATCTACACACTGAAAAAACACCTGTTAGAATTTAAACAACAGAATTAATCAATCATTCACTTCCGTTTGTTTATTTAGAATTTTTACATTAATGCTCAAATCAAATATTCAAATGTATTCATCTAAGCAAAGCAAGCAATAATGATCATAACATGCTTTGTTAAATAAATAGCTCTACAGAAAATCTGTATAGTCAATAGATTGTGAAATATTTTGAAGAATATTTATGTCCTTAAGACTAGGTCTCACACATTTATCCATTTCAGTTATTTATTCTATGGTTGCCACCCATCCCTCTTATATAGAAAAACAAAATGATGCATCATCAGGTTTAAGTGAAATGTTCCTTTCCTGGCCCTAATTATCTTCAATATTGGCCTCATGGGTGTAGGTTTCCATAGGGACCATAGGGACATGTCCCTACCAAACTTTTGGACCAATATAATTTACAATACAGCGTTTTTGCAGCAGTAGAGGAGTTCTGGATGGAGAATATTGACAGACGAAAACATGTTTTTATCTAAAATGCAAAATTCTTATAAATTTTTTTTGCAATTTTTATATAGTTCTTGCTGGGTCGCTCTGTGAGCTAAAGACATGTTTTAGAGCCTCTATACTCCATTTAACGATTAAACGGTCACTACATTTTTTGAGATTATTTCAATAATTGATTAATCCGATGAATTGTTTCAGCCCTAAATAAAATTAATCAAATGGGTTAAACATACTTACTACTGCCTAGATGTACAACTTGTAGAGTGACAGTAATATATTAAATGCTAAGTGTCAGTACCTCTTCTAGTTCCAGTGCACATGTAAATACAATACATTTATTTGGCGCCCCTAGAATCTATTATTTCGCTTTGTTTCATGATATAAAGAGAACATTTAAAAGAAATCAGACATATTTAGACTATATTCTGTTAAATAGGCACAGATTTACCTACTGTTTTAGTCGCTGGTAATTTCAAATGCAAACATTTTCAAAGTGGAGAAAACATCCTAATTCCACTTTCATCAGAGCCATTTAAGCTTCAATCATTGATAAACAGCATCTAGTGTGTGTAGTGCTTATAAAATTTGTATAAATTCAGCAAGACATGCTGCTTTTGAGGGGTTGAAATAGAAAATAAATTGGTTTGTTAATTGTCAAAGTTAACTTTAAAGTTGTAACATTAGCTGGAGACCAATGATAATGGATCAATGTGATATTTGCACATTTTTGCTGCTTGTAACAATGTCTTAGTTAATTAGATTAACTTTGATCCATTTACAGACCATTTTCTGCATGATTTAAAGGAAAATTTAGAATAATTTACCATCCCCAGATAGTTAAACATGGGCAAAGTCTACAGTCTTTTTCCTGAAGTAAAAACATCTGGACAAAAACTGGTTAATGTTGGATTCAGTAAAAGACTCTTTCAGTTGGCTCTGAGGCCAAAAGGCATGTCTATTTCTCCACAATCTTAGACACTGTGGACTAAATACATATGGAGTTGTAGTCTGCCATAGAAAAGAGTCTTTAGCTTTGGAAAGAGGACTAGAATCTGCTTGTTGTGTAAAATTGGATTTAAAAAAAAAAGCGTTGAATGTTGGAGATGTAAATCATATGCCAGTCTTATGTTTACATTTTATCACTGCTGCAATTTAAAGATGGAAATGTCTTGAGAGCTGTACTGAACAAAATGTATTTTTGTATACACTGTGTGTACAAAATTACAATAAAGTCTATCTAAGTCTAACTGCCAGCTTCTACATGTTTGGAGACGTCCACTGAAATGCGTTTCTTTAGTATGGAAACACCAAAATGTATTTTCAAAGGCGTGTTAATACAAATAAATATTAAAGGAACTCTGGTGTTAAAATGTATGGATAAAAATAATACAAAACTATACAGTCTTTGTTTCCAAGTTGGAAAATATATAAATCTTTACCATTACTGAATGATATCAAATACAGGTCTTTTAAGGTGGGTGTAAAAATAAACAGTAAAAAGCCTCTACTTGTATAACTTTTTCTCAAGTCTCAAAGTGCATCACTCTACATTTAGTCATTCAAATACTGGTGGTGGTAAGCTACTTCATAGTCACAGCTGTCCTAGGTTAGATTGAAAGAAGCAATACTGCCATGCAGTCGGCAATACAGCGGCCCTCTGACCACCAGCGGTGGAGGCAGGTGACATGTTTTCCCATAGGACATGAGTACACAGACAGATGGAGTGGTGCTGAACAACCAATCCAGTAGTTATAGGTTGAGCCCCTACATCCTGGGTCTAATAATAGAATAGAGGCAGGAATCAAAATCCGAAAGTTAGATTCTGATCCTAAGAAAATAAATATATAAATAGCCCTATTTATGGTGTTTTCCATTTGCAGTACGTGGCAAGTCTCTAAAGACTCAAAGATTTACTATTTTGTGGAGATGTTCTGCATTTCTTTTAAAGAGAATTTGATTAGTACAGAGGTAGAATATGCATTACCTTTAGCAATTCTCCCTAAGTGGATAAATTCATTTGCACCAACAGCAAGTGAAAAAACAAATGGAGGCATTCTGAGGAACACACTAGTACAAATATATATAAAGTGAATATCTTATTTGAAGGTTGAAGAAGTTATTCCTGTCAAATTGCAGTTTTTGGAAGAAATAAAAACTGCCACTGCTGATAGCTTATATACCAATGAACCTTTGAGTATGTTACAGCTTTTCTTCCACTTTGACTCTTTGGTCTCTTCAAGAAGCTAAGGAGGTCTCACAAATCTCCACTACTAGGTATTTAAGTGTTTTCAAAAAAGATTAACGTACAACAAAAGATTTTAATCATTCATTTTTAATAAAAATATTTCGTACAAGTCAACACTACAGTTATACAATCAAATATGTTTGCATGTGAAGTCACAAGAAGAAGCACTTGTACCAAGTGAGGCACCAGCAACTGTAAACAATTTAACTTTTCAATTTCTTAGTGTGTGATGTGTAAAAAAAGGGGAAATATTAGATCAGAAATACATGTAAAGAAAAATTTAGTCACATAATCACTATTTATAAAACCATCAAGAAAACATTTCCATTGGAATTTGAATCTAAAAAATGTATAAACATTTATCTACATGTTTTTATGCAAGTAAACTCTATTTGAATTAATCTGGTAGACTTCTTATTATCTCATTAGTTTTTATTGTCTATTAGTTGATGAAAACAGCAAATCAAACTAATTAAAAAGAAAAACTGGAATATACGGGGTGGGGGTAGTAAGTATTCAACCCCCTTTAATGTTGTCACTTTTTTTCAGTGTAGCCATTTTCATTTCATTTTATGTCCCATTAATGTAAGTAAAAATGTACAACATTCTGCAAGTTTATCAAAAAAGAAAAAAACGAAGCCAAACATTGCCACAAAAAAAATTACTTTTTGTAGTTTTTTAGAAAATGAAACAAAGAGTTTAAAGGGGTCTAAATATTTTATATCCCCTCTAAAGTTGTGGCACAGAAGAAAACGATTCCAACCCATTAAAACTTGATATACCAGTAACATCTATCCATTCATGTTTCAAATTAATTGTGCAGTAAGCATAACTTCTATTCCCAAGATCATCAAGCTGCTAGTTAAAAAAAAATATTAAAGTAAAATAAATCACATAAGATCTTCTTTTAATCTGACCAATGCCCAGAATTTCATGTTTCTAATTTGTGAGAAAATAAACATTCTGAGTGTTTTCTTCTAAACATTATGTGGTCTTTGGGTTTCCAAGTGTTTGGATAAAATTTGAGGAAATCTAACAATTTATATGCAGTTTTATTTTTGGTTGAAAATGGAAATAAAAATGGCTTTTGTTTCATACCCATCCAGGTAAATCTGTAAAGAACAGGCCATGGACTTTAGTTATATAGCTGACTATAACATTGGTTGAGGAAGCTGTGAAACAAAAACACCACCAACAGCTGTTTAAAAGTTATCAAAATAAAAAAAAGTACTTACCTACCTCTTTGGTCAGCTAGGACCTAAACAAAAGCGTGCCGAAAGGCTGAATACATAATCTCCTAATCAAAATATATATCTGTTCATCATAGTTAAAGCAACAGGAGTCTGATAAGAGGTTATGAAAATGCCCTTTTTTCCAACAGAACTTGGTAAACCATTTCACATGGATAATATCCAACACATTTGATTATTATAAAAAGTCATTCTACAAAATAAACAAAAAAGAAGAAGAAATAATTAATCTGTACACTTAAGAGCTGTGAATTGCTGAAGTTGAAAGGTATAGAAATACCACCCTCTGGTGGATGTTATTGGTCGTTACATTAGCTTGTGAAATAGGACATATGGCAATAAAGGCCACAGACAGTTTGGCTCTGTAATTCCTACTGTCTGTGACAGTTATGCATCTCAGGATTTATTATTGTCCAATCCATCACAAAAACCAACAAGATAACCGGACATGTTGCAATTATCCAGCCTGCAGTATGTGAGGAAGAGCCTCAATCATCAGTGAAACTTAAGTGACCTGAAATATGTCCTAACAAGTATATTAGATTGAAATCCCTCATTTATATGAAATGAATATTTGAAAGTCCAAGAGGGCTTAACAGAACATGGTGCATTATGACATGTTTTTTTTTTTTCAAACAGTCTAAAACACTCCGCACTACATCTTGGTCTCATCTGGATTGGGCCTCTCATTTTCATATTCGTTCTCCTGAGAAACAAGATGGTATGGCTTTTTTTCTTGCTGCTCCTCCATCTTGTTGCCCAACTCTAGGTCGTTCTTTCTTAACTCATGACGAGACAAATGTTCGACTATGCCGGCTCCGATGGAGTCACCAAGGACATTAGTGGTGGTGCGCAATCGATCGCTTTAGAATGAAAGAGATGACAGTAAAAATGTCAGAGAGTAGAAACAGAGGACTGCAAAATAGATCAACTATAAAAGATAAACAAAATAAATCTATTCAATCTCCTAAAGTCATGTTCCATACTGTGTGGCGTATGAAAAAAAATCAGTCAATAGAAAAACAGTGAAGCATTTGGGATGTTCAGTGGTATAATTTTGTTTAACTTAAACTTCCTCTTGATCTCTTCTTTAAACCCCGTTCTCACTAATACTTACAGGAACCAATCAACAGCAATGATCAGTGAGATGTCATCTGTTGGAAGGCCTACAGAAGTTAACACTATGATCATGGTTACCAGGCCTGCCTGAGGTATTCCAGCTGCTCCAATGCTGGCCGCCGTGGCTGTGATGCTGAGGAGGAAATTATAAACTATTTAGTTTTTTTCAGTCAATCTTGATAATTTCCCCTCTCTGGTGCAGCAGGCTAATTCTTAATTTACTGTGCTGTTTGATTGGGGTTGGGGAGCAGGAAGGGTAGATGATGTTCATGCTGTGGCTACAGGACTCACAAATGGCATTTCTTTCCTTCTGTTGCTCATGTTTCTCTCACTTGCTGCTGACACATCTAAATATTCTGTCAGTGGAACAAAATATTTCTATTGTATTCTATTCAAGAGCACAGCAATGCAAAATAATTCATATCAACTAAACCTTTATGCAATTTGTTACAATACAGCTACAGACATTGATGTATTCAGTGGGACAGTGTGGGAAAAACTGACAAAGTAGTCCAATATTGTGTCAAAGACCAATGCATTATATTAAATCTGTTGTGACATGTATTTGTATTTAATCCTCTTTACTTTAGCTAGGCCATTAGTTGTACTCTCTTGTTGCATTAAGAAAGCAAATTTGAAATGAAAGTCACAGTAATAATTTTTTTGGGGAAACAGCAAACTTGTGGAATAAGTTACTCTGTCAATACAAGATCAAATTTTCTGAGCTCAAATGCCAAACTACGTCTAAAGAAAGGTTAACATTGCACAGACTAAAACGTGCCACCATTGTAGTTAAGTACAGTGGTGGCAGTATCATGCTGTTTTTTTGTTTTGTTTTTTTTTTAGAAGGGAATGCTAAGATGGGAAAATTGATAGAGGTAAATCCATGGCAATTAGATCAAGTAGTATTAATGTGATAGATTTGACTAATCGTAGTGCAAACTTATATTCTCAAAGAATCTGTGGAAACATCTGGAAACTGATGTTTACAGATGCTCTAAACCAAAATGCAAGAAAGCACTTAATCAAGGGAGTAGGATAAATACTAACTCAAAGGAATAAAGGTGAATACACAGGGAACAAAAAAGTGGAATAAACAATAGGAAAACAAACACAGAGACATGAACTGATATGAAAGGAATAAAATGAACAGAAATAAACAACCAGGAAATGCTAAAAGCATAAAGAAAGTTGAAACCCAAAAACCTGTAGACTACACCTTTAACTGCAGTTAAAGCTGTTTCTACAAAGTTTCACAAAAGGGTCATACCTTTTAAAATTGCTTACTTCAATAAATTATGTTATCATACAGCACATAAAATCCCCTAAAATAGGAAAAGTTGGTGGTTGTAATGTGAAAAATAACAAAAAACTAAACTACACTAAACACAAACTAAAACACATATTTAAGGGGCATTAGTATTTAATAGAACCCTCTAAATAAATTCTGTAAACTCTAGAGTTAATGCCCATGGGTCCCTTGTCAAAAAAAACCTGATAATATATGTTGTGTCTCTGCAATGTTTTTTGTAGAAGTTATATAAGTTTACATTTTTTTGGCGAGACATCAAATTTTGAAGCCTGGCTCCGCCCCTTAAACATTAACCAAAACTCAGTTTTTTTTATAACTTTTAATCTCCTATGCCTTAATTGCGATTAGAGCAATTTTCAAGCCGACATCTACAAATCCCTCAGAGACATTCGATCAAATGTAGACGTTATAAATAGCAAAACCCCAGTCAAAATTTCAAATTCAATCCAAGATGGCTGACTTACTGAATACCAATAACTATGATGTTAATTGACATTTTTGTAAGTCTTAGGAAGCTCAACAAGTGTACCAATTTTCATGTCTCTATGACAAAAAAAGGTCAATGGGGAGGGTGTTTTAAAAATTTGAAGAAGGCGCTGTTGAGACATTTCTGAGCAACTTTTGAGTCCTCATTAAAATACTTGAATTTTCACCAGTTCTGACGTATGAGCAAAGTATGGTGAGTTTTTGTATATGCTAAGGCCTCCAAAAAGCCAATTCACTTGGTGTAAGAACAATAATAAACAGTCGAATTACACTAGGCCTTCACGGCACTTCGCTGCTTGGGCCTAATGTTTTCGTTCTAAGGTCTGGAGATGGATGGACAACAGCAGAATCTTTTCTTTGTTCAGTCTGAATTAATAATTTATAGTCAGATCCAAAGAGTCAACAGTGTTGCTATTTTTTGTTACTTTTTCAATGAAATAAGATGTTTTTTGAGGAGCAAATTTTTGCAATACCTGATGGTTAGAATCTGTCCGAAGTTAAGATCATAGGCATTGACCTGTGCAATAAAAATGGCTGCCAGGGCTTCATACAAAGCCGTCCCATCCATGTTTATAGTGGCTCCAACTGGAAGAACGAAACGAGTCACACGCTTGTCCACCTTGTTATTTTCCTCCAGACATTTAAAAGTGATTGGTAATGTGGCAGAACTGTGTAGAGACAGAGGGATGATGCTATGAAAGATTATAGGGCACAGTAAAAATGTTCATGGAGATCTTTTCTGTCACTGATTGAGAATAAATGAAATCACAGACCTAGATGATGTTCCAAGTGCGGTTACAAGTGCTTGTAGAAGCCCAGCAATGAAAACCAAGGGGTTCTTTCTGGTGATAATGAAGTAGAGTGTTGGGAGGACAACAATGGCGTGGATGAGCAGGCCACATATAACTGTTACTGTATACATTCCCAGCTGGCCACCCATGGCTGAAATATCATCCATCTCCATAATTTTACCAGCAATCAGGAACAGAATGCCAACAGGGGCATACCTGAGGATAGAGAGTGATAGAAATGTAAGACTGAAAGATGCTATTTTGTGTTGTCTCTAATTTATCATTCACTGTTACAGATCAGATTTCTGGTACATACCACATTATTATGGCCACCAGCCTCATGATGGCCTCATTGAGGCAGTCAAAGAAGTCTTTCAGGGGTTTTCCCTGTTCCCTCATGTTCCCGATGATCAGACCGAAGCACAAGGAGAACATCACAAGTCCCAGTGCATTTATTCCATTGACTGATCCTGAAACTGGAATCATCTCCTCTTGCTCTATTTCTTGGCTGCCATTTTGGAGGAATATAGTATCGTTCACCGTAACAGTCACATGGATTACTCTCTTGGCATAGTGCGTCTTGAACTAGGATATAAAGAAAGATAAATATGACTTTATTCATTTCTAATTCAGGAAAATCAATTTAAGGCTCAGTGACAGAAAAAGAGGAAAAAATAGCAAAAGGATGTTTTAGATCAAAATCCAAAAGCAGGGCTAACATTTTGAAAGTCATTGCTTTCTGACCAGGGCTACTTGGTCGCTAGAATTACCATGGCTTACGCAAAAATACAGTTGGCATTTGTGTGCAAAGTATTTCCATATATATCTATATTTCCAATTATTGTATTTCTTATTTGCATGTCCAGTCAATCAGTCTAGCAGCTCATGGCTGAAGATGGCCATTAATATACAGCTTATGATGAACTGCTAAATTAAATGGTCATTTGGATGATTCTTGGAGATTAGTCTGTTTGAAAATCCTACAACTGTATATAATAATAATTGATAATAATTTTAGATAAATTATTCCATTGCAATCATTTAATAATAATAATAAAACAAATGCTTGTAATATACTAATAATATTTTATTATTAAATTATTTTTAACTCGATTCCTGCTTGCATCCCTGACCATCCACTCCCTTGCCCGACTATCCGTCTTTCTTTCCATCAATCTTGTAGAGTTAATTTATGTGTGGTGTAGCAGAGGGTGGAGCTTCAAATTGCTGTTTTTTTCTTTCTGCATTGCACATCTCCTAAAGTGTTTTCTTGTTTACATGTGTTCATTAACAAGGAAATACAGAAACTCTTTTAGGGTTATCTTTTAATGTAGTTATTCATTCTGAGAACTATTTTAATTTTGTAAATTTGTTCAGCTTGACTTAATACAAACCTCCATAATCTCAAGATGTCCTTTTTGTGGAAAAAAATGCAAACAACATGCTGTGAAAATGTCAAAATTCTCTTGCTTTGCAAAATAAGAACTTTACAAAATACAATTCAGTATAGAAAGTGGCTTACTGCCAGAGTAAGAAACATTTTGGTTGATGATAAATCCATGAAAATCCTTTAAAAATCACCTTTACATAGTAGGAACATAAGAAAATATTTTTTAAATCTACTCAAAGATTTTGGACATAGCAATGTGTTCATGTGCCAGGAAGTAGCTACTCTCTTGCACTATTTAGAATAAAAGAACCTTTCAACAAAAAAAAAAAACAAAAAACAAAAAAAAAAACAACAACAGTGCAATGTTCGAAATATCTTACCATACCAACTTTATATGAATTATTATTTTTAGTTTCCTTATTTTTCAGTTTTAAAAGGTCAGCACGTTCAATTTAGACATCTTGTACAGCCCTGCTGGGTATGTAGTGTGAACATCGGTAAAGCAACCTGGATTGTTGTGTATTTTGTAAAACTGCTATCTTGTAAAAAAATAATTTCTCTTGATGTTTCCTATCCATCGAGATTATATACAATTTACTAGTAAAGTTTGAGACCATTTACTAACCAAGTCTAAGTGAAAATTATTACTTTCACTTTTTTCAGATAAATTCAAAAGGTTGTTTTTTTCAATGCAATGCTACTAATTGAATAATGGAAAATAACAACTAGTAAGAATTGCTTTTTCATAAAAGGCCTATAATAAATGTGACAGCTCTCTGAATTCTTATAACACAGGTTTAAATAATAATACTGAATTTGTATTTTTGTGGCAAACCAAATATGAATCATGACCTGAGATTTACATAAGAATGACCTGGGTGATTTAAACAGATATTGGAAAGAAAAAAAAGAAGCAAAAACCTGCTCTAGAGAAACTTTTGACAAGTTCATCCAGTTAGAGCCTACACTTATCAAGTGCTGGGTAAATAAATAGAAGAAATTAACACATGGATGTGCCAAAAGTTTCTTCAGCTGAATCTAAACAAAACTGATGAATCGTTTCTGGACCAAAGGACCATAAGTAGGCAGACAGCTTCAGTCCTGACAGCTATAGACCAATAATTAGGCTCATTATGGGTGTAGTGATGGACTCAGACCTGAACCTTCAGACCACATAAAGACAGTAACAAAATCGATCTGTTATCACCCAAGGAACATCTCCAGGATTAAAGCACTAATGTCTCAGCAGGACCTTGAAAAACCAATTAATGCATTCATCTTTAGTAGAACTGATTACTCCACTGTTAACTTCACAGTTCTGACTAAAACGTTGACCAGACAGCTGCAGCTGATCCAGAATGCTGCTGCCTGCACCCTCACCTAAACGAAGAAAGTGGAGCACAGTTCTAAAATGGTTACATTGGCTCCCCATTTATCACTCAAAAGACTTTAAAATACTTCTGTTAGTCTATAAACCACTGAATGGCTTAGCTCCAAATTACATTGCAGACTTGCTGTCAGTGTATCAACCTCGCATTTTTTATGGCTCAAATTTGTTCTGCAAAAACCAGAACCAAACATGGAATAACAGCTATTAGTTCTCATGCTCCAGTAATCTTTAACTAAATACCAGAGAAGTATAAAAGTGCAAACCCTCAGTTGCTTTAAATTAGATTTAAAGTGTATTCGCTGACACCAACAGTTGGTTGTGCTATCTAAACATTTTAAGTTAAGTTTTGAGTGCAACTATCCTCTCATTTTTTAATCAATTGTTTTATCTTTTTTTTAAATATAGCCACTTCATTTGAATTATTCATTTTTATTTTAATTATTTGTGTTACTTATATGCCATGGAAGAGTACTTTTCTTTTTCTTTCTCATGTGCAGCACTTTGGATTGTCTTACTACTAAAATGTGCTATAGAAATAAAGCTACCTCGCCTTGTTAAATTACAGAACATCTGATTAGAAATTAAGTAAAATGATATATACCTGTTTGGTGCAAGCTTCCACAAGGTTTGGAGGAAACATATTTCTGTGGGGGAAAAATTAATAGTTTGGTTTTTTTGAAGACATATTGGAAACAACTGCTTTTCTTTAACATATTTATCATGGAAAGTAGTAGTTTTAGAATAAATAAAAATGTAATAATCAAATATAGTTTAAAAATAAGAGCAACCACAAGGTTACTAAAATAAAAAAGTTATTTCAAATACATGCACCTGAGTCTAAGACCATGAAAACTGCAAAGCTGGAAAAGGCTTTCAATTTTATTTTCTCAGTTGACATTTAGTCTAAAAAAAAAGCAGACAAAAAACATAGTAGCTAAAAAGAGCAAAGTATCTTCCTGGAGATTTTTGGGGGAAATTAATAAAATAGTGAACTGAAATAGTCACTTTTAACAAAGGATCAAGTTGGTTTATTGTCTTACTCATTTTTTTAGGGAAAGTCTTTCACCTTCTTTAAGAATCAGGACTATAAATACCTGATAAGATCCAGAAAGGCATCAGCAGGGCTGACCTGCTCTATCTGCTGCTGCTTGGTGAACTCATCCTTGGATCCCTTTCCAGGGTGAATAATGAGAACCATGACTATACCGATGAACACAGCAATCACAGTTGTGGTGGTGTAGTAGATCACTGCCCTCATACCCATCCTACCAGAGGCCCGTCTGTCCAGCGAAGCAATGCCTAAACATGACAAAAATAGTCAAACAAACAAAAATCAACTTGTTAAATTAGATTTTGTATATTATAATGATAAACAAAGCAAGCCCTTTGCTGCCGTTGTTGTTTCTCTTCGTGCTGCTTCTAAACTATTCAGGCAGAGCTAATAAGTTTACGCACTCGATCAAATGAAAGATTTATGAAACATGAAAAAAAGAGGGTTTAAAAAAAACATTTTAATTTTAAAATGCAAGTTATCCTTTACAAAACAACTGAATATTAAAGTTACTTAGAAACATTTGATGGAAATGTATTAGGGGAAATAGAAAAACTTATAATCAATAAAAAATACTGCAGTGCCTGTGTTAGTTGTGAGCATGTAATTCCTTATTTTTGAACATGGTCATGGCCAATAAAGCTGATACTGATAGCTCGCTTGCATAATTTTGCTCTACCTGAACCTAATACGTTGAAAAACATATGAAAAAAAGTACTTTTATATCCTAGTTCAAGACGCACTATGCCAAGAGAGTAATCCACGTGACTGTTACGGTGAACGATACTATATTCCTCCAAAATGGCAGCCAAGAAATAGAGCAAGAGGAGATGATTCCAGTTTCAGGATCAGTCAATGGAATAAATGCACTGGGACTTGTGATGTTCTCCTTGTGCTTCGGTCTGATCATCGGGAACATGAGGGAACAGGGAAAACCCCTGAAAGACTTGATGAAAAAGCACCAACTCTTTTTGTGGTAGGACTACAATAGCTTAGCAATGTGAAAGTATAGCATTGACCTAACCACGAAAAACTCCAAACCCCTTAAAAAAAGAAAATATGGCAAAATGAATAAGAATAAAAAATTACATACAAAAGAAATGAAAAACTATAATGAACTCAAATCTTGACAGTTGGTGCTTAACTCTAAATCGGCTATTCCAAAACTATTATTTTCTTCCCATGCAGTCATCCTTTGCTTTTGTTAAACAGAGACTCACTGTGTAGCTATAATGAACTCCCTCTTCCCCTCACGTAGGACCAATCCTGCCATAATCAATGACAAATTCAAAAATAAGGAAGCATTTTTTTATGTCTTTGATAAAGGCAAACAACCACTAATTGAATATTCATGTGTTTTTTGCATCTTTATTCTCGATTTTTTTTTTAACATCTGTATTTTTAAGTTAACAAATGAGAATTTTGTTGATTTATATTTTATTCTAAATCCCCATATGTTATATTTTATTATTTTCTCGGGTAATATAGAGACACCAATCAACCAAGGAAGCCAGGTCAGAGAACCCACGCATGAGAAAATGCAAACTCCATGCAGGAAGACCCCAGCCCAGAGTTCAAAACCAGACCTTCCTGCTGCAAGGGAACAATGCTACAATCAGCACCACCATGCAGCCCAATAAAAAAGAAGCACATTTTTTTTTACTTCCCTGCTATTAGTTTTCAAATCAATTCAATTAAATTTATTTATATAGCTAAAATTCACAACATGTCATCTCAAGGCACTTTATAGAGACAATTCAACCAGATCATACAGTCAGATATTAAACATTTCTTTTTTTTTTTTATCTTCTGTAGCATTTTGCTATTTTCTGTGTTATTATACATTCACATTTTTGTGCACTTTCAAATCATCTTACTCAGCAGTAATTTAAAAAAAAATTAAATAAGGTTAATTAGGTAGGATATTTTTATTCTGTCCCTTTACTTGCAATTGATACACCTGAATTTCTATTCTATTCTATTCTATTCTATTCTATTCTATTCTATTCTATTCTATTCTATTCTATTCCATAAATCCATTGGTCTCTAGAATAAAAGACTTGAACTTTATCAAGGTTCTTTGACTTTTGAGATTTGCATCAGATGAAAGTCATTTCATTGTGATTTTTAATTATTCTTCCTCATGGCAATCAGAATAGCCTTGATGTGCCGCTGATTTCAGTGCTCATGTGTGTCCAGTTAGCCTGGGAAAAGGTTCTGTAATTATAAAGGGAATACACACAACCGGATTATGATCTCTGACAACAAAGAACCACAAGAAATACAATCTGACTGCGACCTTTACTACAGGAAAAATAACACCTGCTGCAAAATCCCTTTGGGGAAAGCTAATAATCTGTTTTTATATTGCAAATTTAGGTACACCTGCGGTAAGACATTCACATTTTTAGTCATGGATTGTCATTTTGTCACCAAGCTGGAGAGAAGGTAGAACACAGTCCCTACGTCTTTATCTGCAAGGTCTTGAATGTTCCTCTATGTATCATTAGTTTGCTGCGAACACAATGTGCAGAGATGACAGTTCCTGATTGTCCTGACTAAATCCAGGGCAATGCTTGTCCCTTAGAGAAAATGATACAGGCAAGGTGTAACTGTATGTGCCAGTGATTTCTCATACAGAGAAAACCTGTTCCAGCAGAACTCAGACCCAACATGCTTTTGTTTTGGCTGTCAAAATTTAGCAACGAGGAAGACAGAGAGCTGATGGTACAAACAATGAGCAAAGTCTATATGGACAAAGATGGGAGAAAAAAGACACAAAGAGAACTGAATTAAGAGATGGAGAGGCTGCTTTAAAATATCCACATTCAACTATTATCTTTTTGTCAGAGCTTCGTAAGCAGGGTTTGTTTGTTGGAGAGATTTACTGTATGTATTCATTTATAGGTCTTTGACGCTATAGATGTTTGTTGAGAAGTTTGTGAATCTCTCAGAAGGTCCGTTTTGTTTAAGATTGCCTGGCTTATATCCTTTAGTGTTTAAGAGTGTATCTGGGAAAAGGATTAGAAAACTAATTGAAAGTATCAAAAAGGTATAATTTATAAAGAGTCTAAATGAGTTTTGGTGACATCCTGCCCCACTTCTGCCCCTCATTGTTCCTTTTTGTCCCATCGTGTTCAGGACTCATGCTTTAAAGGCATTTCTTTCTGATCTTCTTCTTCCCCTCCCTTATTCCCACATCTCCAGTTTATAACCTGCTCTTGTTTCCAAATCTCCATCATGATCTTCTTGCACCCCTTTTTTTCTCCTCTTGTCTCTCCCCAAATCTTTTATCTATCTTCCCTTTTTATAACAGACACTGATCTTATTGCTGCAGTTCTTTTATTCACTGATGGCTTTCTTCTTGCCTGATGACCCTGGGAAAACTTGTTGACTTCGTCTAGGCTACACGTACACACAATGATCCCCTGACTGTTGGCCAGGCAACAACAGATGCAGCTTACCAATTCAATCTTTTCAAAAGATCGAAAAGAACAAGGTTGAAGTTGTGCTTGTTGAATGGCTTTCTTTGTAGTCTGGCTTTGTGAGAATGTTTGTGTCCCACCACATATGGATAATCCCAAACTAATGTATGGTACATGCTTCAAATGTTTTTACAACAGTCTAAGATGTCTTGCATCCCTTTTTATTCAGCCTTTCTAAATCTTTCGGGATACATTTTTATTAGTTATCCACATTACAGATTAAAATATTTCTGCCTATTCTTCTTTACAAAATATATCCAGCTCAGTCTATTGATGGATGGGTAGAGTGCATCTGAACAGCAATTTTCAAGTTTTGCTGCATATCCACAAATAGATTTAAAAGAAAATTTTGCCTTTACCATTCAAAGGTTTGACTGTGTTGATTTGAATTGTTTTGCTCTTGTTTCCCCATCAAGCTTCCTTGTCTGTGCTAAAAAATACTATCGCCACAGCATAATGCTGCCACCACCATGCTTTATAATGCTAATTGTGTGTTCAGACTGTTGAGCGCTATTCATTTAGCATTTAGCGTTTTGCACAGAGCAGCCAAAATGCAAACATCTATTCTATTTGTTTTCTGATGCCCCATCTTGTCAAAATAAAAATAAAGTAAAATACACAAGACAAATAATTTTAATTAAGTTTTTCCCAGTAGTGATGGATCGCTGCAGTTCCTCCTCTGCTGCTGCTGTGAGTAATTCTTTCTCTGATGTCAGTGCATAGAACAGCTGCATTTATAATGTGATTCAATTACATAAAAAAGGACTAGAAATACCTAGAACTGACTTCTGAAGGCATTTTAATGGGTTTTACCATAAATAGTGTTTGTTAAACATGTATGCTTTTAATAATAAACAGAAAATGTATTTTACAATTAAGCTGTCATTTAAATTTCTTGTGGCCCAAAATAATATATTGGGCCAAGGTTTGTGGTTACAATGTGACAAAAGTTGGTTGTTATTTTCAGAATTCTAAAAGTTTCGATCTTTAATTAAATCTGAACATCATCTATCTTGGTAAATACAGTTGGCCCAATCCCTGAATCTTTATCTTCAGTCCTTTATCTCCTCTCGCTGCTGTCTCCCATAATTCCTTTTCTAATCATTGCAACATAAAAGCCCTTTAGTGGTATCAATTGACTTCTTTAGTTTTGAGGTTATATTAAACTAAGATATATGGAGAAACATTTGGCTAAAACATATTACTTAACAAATGAACCTTCTTCTATGTTCTGCTTATCATTTAATGAGTGAACCACATAATAAGCCTCTTTCTCATAAGCCTCTATCCGTTGTTCTCCTCCTTATCCGCCTTACAGCCCCCCCTCTTACCTTCCGGGGCCCCACTACATTCAGTAAAAAGCTGCTCTCAGGGCCCCTTCAAGGTCTGCTTCAAGTTTCTTGGTCTCAACTTAGATTCACTTATAGATTAAATCACATCAGAAGCAAGGGCTTTTCATGTGGAGCAATTGCTTTTACTCTAACCATGTTCAGTATCATGTCCTTTGACCATGTTGTTGAAGAAAATGTAGGAATAGAATATTATCAAACTTGAATAAAATGTTACTGTTGTTTTAACAGAGTAGGATTATATCTGCTGGGGGAAAAAAAGTTTTTGATAAATTCAGTGATGGAAACAAGATCAAACTCAAGTTTGTTAAATTTATTTCATTAGATTTTCAAAACACAGATAGGACGATTATTTTATTTAGCTGAAATAATAATAAAACCATAATATTTTCTTTTCTACAATAGATCTGTGTTTATATTTTTATGTTTTGCCTTGGCTGTATGATTATATGCATGTCACACACAAGTCTTAAAAAAAGTGCAGGCCATCAGAGTGTTCAAGAAGTTTCTGCAACAAAAATATAATACAGTGAAAAAATATATAAGCAGAAGTTTGTGTTTATGAGGTTTTATACTTATATGCAGAGGTGTTGCTAAGATAATGATTTTATGATGCTTTTTGTAATTTTTTTTTCTATTTTTAAGTTATACTGGTGTAATAAGATGAATATAATACATTTTTGTACATGTGTGATTCATTTCTTTTTACATACTAGTGCAGGGTTTATTATAAGAATCCAATTATGTATTTTATTCACTGCAGTGCTATTTAAAAGATGTATACATATAGAACATATTCTTCCTCACTTAAAACTGAAATTCTTACAGATTCAAAACCACAATAAGTATGAAAAACATAATTATACTAATTCATTAGTCATACAGAAAAATGAAAACAGTATTTAAATAATTAAAAAAACTTTCTTTAATAGATTAGATTATGGTAATGTATACTGTTCTGGATACGAAGATAAACAACTTGGAAAATAAATGTGTCTTCCATGAGTTCCACACGCTGTGGTTGAGGTCATGTGTCCTAAACGAATCAAGATACTGCTGTTATGCACTGTTGTAGCACAAAGCAGACTATTATAAGTTGTGTGTCTGTCATCCCCTCAGGCAATTGGGCCCTTTCCCTGTCAGTCACTGACGCTGGAAGTACGCTCCTCCAGTATTGGTTAGTCAATTTTACGTAAAACCCACCGTTGCCTGCATCTTGCTACTGATGACCAGGGTTTTGTGTTATTCAATCGTGATTCAACATATAAATATATTTTTTCCTTGCAAAGAAAAAGAGGCCGCTATCAACAGCGAATTCATTAGGATGGTTTTCATAAAACTTTGGCATATCTGAGAAGAGCTCAGGATGTTACAAAAGACAGGTTCAGAAAATCTAAAATATTCTAAATAAAACAATTAAATAAGTGGATGTGTTGCATCCAAATAAAAAAAAAAAGTTTAACAGGTCAAACATGTGATTCAAGGCAGAACTGCAAGTCAACATGTTTGGGCTTTGCTAATGAGATCATCCACTACTGTCCTTGAAAGCAACAAAACATATCGGCTCAGAAAATAGCTGGCTCACGGCTACTCATGATCTACACATAGGTCAGTATAACCACAAAACATAACAGCCTTAGTTTTGTAGTTCTTCATGTCTGAGTAGCTCTCTTATTGATCCAAAATAAAAGAACCAAATGAAAAAGGAGATTTAGATTGAAACCATGCAGGATAGCTTGGAGGGAGCCTTTTGTAACTGCAAAATGGGGAATAAACAGTGAGGCCACATAGAGCGGACACACAGCAGGGTGAATGGGGGAAATACAATATTGTTAATTTAAGACAGGAGGAACATGCTGCATTGCCTTTAAGTTGTGTGATACAATGTAAACAATAGACCGTCGGAATGTCTTTCGGGATGGCAGACCATATCTGTTACTGTGTATTTAATCTAGATGCAGTCAAGGACAACACATTTGGCTTGAACTAGCTTTTAAAGTATCTGCTTCATTACATGCATTTGTTAAAAACATGCAATAACTGATGCTGGTCATAAATACAAACAAAATAAACCCAGCACAACACTTTAAGTCTAACATAGGAGTTTTAATAAAACATTATTATTTTAGGTTTTTCTCTCTGCTGTTCTTTTTCTCTTATGTTGAAATAAGTCCTTCTTTTTATTCAAAATGTTCTTGCTTATTGATTTATTAATTTCCCTTTAACCCTCATCATCTAACTAATATAATATGTGATGAGATGTGATGACTGGTGCGATTTGAGGAGTTGTTTGTTCAGCGAGCTTAAGGTAACACAGAACAGGAACATGTACCTCATCAGCCAATGGCCCTGATGATGCTCAAAGTTAGTTGACATTGCATTAGTTGCAGTTGTTTTTATTTGCAAAAATAAAATAAAAGGCTTTTGAATATTTCCACCTACCCTATAATCTACCCTTAAGCCATTTTATGTTTTCTCTCTTTTTTTACATTAAGTTATTCTACTAAAAGCAAGAAGCCAGTATATAATATAAGTACCCAGCAGTGCTCCCTTCCAAATTATAGGAGTTGTTTATTTGCTTATTAGAAGATAATACTTATTCCTGGTTGCATAATCTTTGTTTGCTTTGCTAAGTTATACCACAAAGCTGTTAAATGATACCTGTGATAAGACTTGAGACCAGCAATGGCAGCACCAGCATCTGGAGCATTCTCATCAGCAGCTCTCCGGGAAAAGAGAAGTACTTTACTTCACGGTAAGACAGTTTGTATGGGCGCATTGAAAATCCCAGGATTATACCTGCAGGAAGATCAAATATGGAGGCAAAATGTTACATTTCAAAATACAAAGCTGTACAAAAGAAGGTCAAGTAGTACTATAAAACTCTTTTCAAATCAAGTCTTTTTTATGGGCCTTTTGTTAATTCTAACACAAATCTACTGTCATGTTCAAGATAACAGATTTTGCCATCTGACAAGCATCCTGGCACCCTAAATTTAACAGTCTGTCATGTCGTGGGGTATTTCTAGCTGCAGATGTCCCTGCTTTAGTTGGGTCAGCTTTACCTCCTTCTGGGTAGAATTTAAAGGTCAGCAGTTCAGTCACCAGGTCAAGGGAAGTCTAGTGTGCTAAATGCATCAGAGCTGACTCCGTTAGGTCTTCTTTAGTTTGTTTCCTTCCTCCATTGTACAGCGGGGAAAGTAGTGACTTGGAAGTTAAGAACTATTTGTCTGATATGAATAATGAGGTTTCCTTTGTAAATATAAAAATTGCCCACAGAGTTAAGAGTTTAAAACTCACATAGGTCCAAGAGGAAAATCCCTGAGTGTGTTTCTTACCTATTATAACAGCAGCGATAGTTAGAATGACAAAAGCATTTCTCATGAAGAACGCCTTCAGTTGGTCTGTCTTAATGTTCTCCACTCTCTTCTTGGCGAGCAATGATCTGGACTGGATTCCAGCCCGGATATGGTGAAGACCACCGCGGCTTCTCTGTGGGTTCTCTCCATTGCTTTGAGTCATATTTGTGGCCTGCATCTGCAGAGCTGCTGTGGAGCAGGCCTTAGCAGTGATGAGTACAGTATAGATATGTTGACGACTCGGTTAAGTCCTTCTGCTCCTGAGGGTCACACCTCTCCTTTAGTTAAATTATTAGTAGCTGCCTGGTGAGTGGAGTAAAATGATGTAGATGTAAATCTCATAATCAGAAGTATAGACAAAAATCTTTGTTGGAGAAACAAATAAAAAAAAAAAAGATAGTTATAAGCATCTCATTACAGTATTTATGACTGTTTATGACTGTTATGTAAACAATAATAAAAACAACACTGCTGGAAATCCTGCATGCAAAAGATATTTTAGCTTTCTAATCTAGAAAAGCTCCAAGTTGATTAAAAACCAGAATTCTATTTGCAGCTGTAAAGAATTTGCTAACTTCCTTCTCTGTACACACGTGTACAGTTTGCTTTAGATAGGCATGTCAGTTCAGACACAGAAGCTCTTCCTCTGACTTTTACAGATGATAAAAAACAGAGACATAAACCTTTTTTTCCCAGTACCTTTAGACTTGAGGAATAAGGTCCTCTGGAGCAATGTCTGAGTTTTCCAGGAAAAAGATCAGGCTTAAAGCTTGGATCGGTGTGAGAGGGGACGAGGGGTTCTTTGGCTATGAACTGGCTGTGCAACCAGCAACTAAGAGATATTCAGTTGAGAGACAGGGGGTGGAGAAAGGAAAGGGGGGCGTAGCATCAGGGATGAGGGAATGAAAGAGCCAGTGAGAGAATGGAGGCGGTGCCCTCAAAGAAGAGTGGTAGTCACTGAGTCGCACAGCTTGTGCTTGTGGTGAGATGGAGGGGGAACTACTGGCAGCAGCGTAAAAAAAGGAAAAAAGGTATGGGAGGGGGGCTGCTACTCAGGAGGAGGTGAACTTGAGTAATAATGAGCTTTTCAAAAAGCAAAAAGAAAAAAGGGGCCTTCTTGTTTTCTTCTGCCCCTCTGTCCTTTCAAATTTTTTTCATGCTCTCTGAGTTCAGCCTGACTGGAGGTTCCTGTAGAGAATAAATTAACACTAAAATATATCCCATCTAATAAACATAGGACTTCTTATATATTTCTTTCACAATTGGAAGATTTTCCAATCTTGTCTTGTTACAGCCATGGGAAAACAGTCATATACAAGAGCATGGCTGTCAAGAACAAGGAAATGTTTCGATGCTTTGCTAAATTTATCGCAAGTAAATATATGGTGTGGCCAGGATATGATATTGGTCTCTTCGATTGGCCACTTCTAAATATTAAGTTAGAAAAGGCAAAATGAAGACTGGATTATGGATAACATATACGTTTTTACAGACATTATTGTATGATTAGCTGCCTAGATTCGAAGTATTATTTTTTTAACAGTGTCCTGTCTGGCGATGCTGCAATAAGAATAATTGTCTTGATGCCAAAAGAGAGCCCAACAGATTTTGCTTTCACAATTGGAACAGTACGGCTATTACTATAGTGTTCCGCTTAATTTATGCATATAAACAGCTTTAATATAATTCATGCAGGGAGTATTACAGGTTATATGGACACTGCAATGTAAGTAGAACAGGAAAGGAAAAACAGAAAAAAGGAGAAAAGATAAAAGAAAGAGGCGATAAAAGGGAGACAAAGATAGTTCATCTTCAGTCTGCTTCATCACCTGCAAAGAGACGTAAAAAAAAACCCCAGTAAAACCAACATATATAGTATAAGAGATACAATAAAATAAAACCTTGATGCTATCGCTGAAGTATAAGTAGTATTATTTAATCTGACATATATACTGTTGTAGCTGAAGATTAGAATATGGGCTTTCTGTATGGAAGTTAATCTCTAAGTACCTGGAGCAAAGCACCTGTAGCTGTTTGTGAGAGTGCAACTTTGAATTTACTCTCATAAATTCAAAGTATCTTGCAGAAAACCGCTCTCTATCTGAAAATAGAAAAGTGTAGTTTTGCTTTGAATAACACCTTGTTCTAGACATTGGCCTCCACCTAAACTGACTGGCCAAGTAATATTCTGAAGAGTTGCAGAGCTTCACATCAAACAGGAAAATGTGTAAACAGAACAACCATCATTCCCATACTTCACAGATCAGGCCTTACAGTGAACAGGCAAGAAGAATTGCGGTTTATCAGGAATGGTAAATGGCCTGCACTTTTAATGCACTTTTTCAAGTCAGAGGACCTGACCAAAGTACTTTACACTACATTCATAGACACACTTACACACTGATGGTGGCAAACTACATTGTAGACAGAGCTGACCTGGGGCTCACTGACAGAAGCGAGGCTGCCGTACGCTCCTCTGGGCCTTCTGACCACCATCATTAGATAATGCAGGTGAGGTGTCTTCCCCAAGGACACAACAACACTGGAAATCAAGCCAGGGCTTGAACCAACAACCCTCTGGTTGCAGGGCAAACTTCTTCATCTGACGCTACTGTCGTTTGATCCCAAGCGGTTATAAGGAGGTCTGAGGCGAACACAATTCGGGTTGACATTCTAAAGACAATTTTTATCACACCCCATTGAATTAGGGTAATGGAACTGTCATAGTGTTGGATGAAGTGCATTGGTCAGAGTTGATGGACAGACGGCTGAAGAAAATGTTAGATGCCAATAATTTACATGGGACTTAGTCAGAGCTATACTGAAATGATTTAGATCAAAGCTTATTCACATGCAGGAATAACTTGTTTAAACCTGCAAACTAAATTCAACTAAAGATACTGTCCTTCAAGTCGGACTGAGCTTGATGTATTTTGAAGAGAAGAGAGGGCAGAAAGTTTTGTGTCATAAAAACACACCATAAAAAAAATTACCACCAAAACTTCATCTTTTTATTATGTCACCAGATATGGACAGAGTACATGAAGACATGAAGTTTTGCAAAGCCCATTTTATGACGTTGGAACATCTTTGAGAAACAAACAAAATGTTGTTTGTGGTATTTCAGCACTGTTCAAGTACTATGCAAAGTCCACTTGGCACTCTTTCATTAAATAAAAAAAGACCTCTGGAGAATTTAGTATGCTAAGCTAAAAAGAGACAGTAAATATTTGCCAGTTGCAAGTGGAGCAACTGGTTAGCTACCTGACCATCATGAGCTGACTGAAGTGCAGAGGTCTGCTGTAGAAAATAATGGCTGCTTAACGTCCAGATGAAAATATACAATAACCTGGGATTTGTTCTGGCTGCAGATTCCAGTGGATGCAGTGAGGTATACGGGAGATGTATGTAGATTTTTGTGAATAGGTATTAATTAGAAAATTGATTTTCATTTGTGTTTTTTTTTTTTTTTTCTGGTAAAGTGTTTTTAGTAACCCTGAGGGTTTCTAAGAAACGAGATAGACATCACCAGTGCTCCAGACACAATGCAGTAGCATTTTTTTTTAATACTGAAGATTTATTTTTCTGAAGTTGGATTATGCTCCAGATTATTTGGATGCACTGTAGGAAAACAAGATCCTATTACAGTATTTTATTAAAGTTAGTTGGAGGACAATTCCAAGGTGAGTAGTAATGTGCTTTAAATTGTGAGACAGTCCCAGTTAGGGCTTACTGATTCAGCCAGAAATCAAAATTGGGATTATTTTTAAACATAACTGCTATTTTCCTTACCACAAACCATAAGCATTTAATGTTTTCTTCCAGGGTTTCAGTCTTACATGATATTGAAACATTTATTTACCAGAGTCCATTGTTACAGGGCTTTACAGTTACATTAGAGTGAAAAAGTTCCTTCTTCTGCAACAGTGCATGATAGCTGCAACTTTCTTTTCCCTTGCAGCATGAAACCCACTTTAAGTGTCTTACTGCTGCCTAAAGCATGGGTGTAGGTTTGCATAGGGACCATAGGGACATGTCCCTTCCAAAATTTTGGAATTAGATATGTATAACATGTTTATAACTTACAATACAGCTTTGTTGCAGCAGTAGTGGAGTTCTGGACGGAGAATATTGACAGACAAAAATTTTTTTTATCTAAAATGCAAAATGGTTATATATTACAATGTTGGTATAATTCCTGCAGTAAGTGGGTCATTCTGTGAGCTAAAGACATGTTTTAGAATCTGTATACTCCAGTTAATGATTAATTTATTACTGAAATTGTTGACGTTTCAATAATCAATTAATCTGATGAATTCTTTCAGCCCAAGATAAAATACATATTATGGGTTAAAGAGAGTAACTACAGCCTAGATGACTTGTAGAGTGAAATTAATATTCTCAGTGTCAGTTCCAGTGCTCATGCAAATGCAATACATTTATTTGGTGTCCCTTGAATCTATTATTTTGCTTTGTTTCACGATACAGAGAGAATATTTCAAAGATAAGAGTGGGTTTTACCTCTGCACAATTGTATATCTTAAAAGAAAAAACAGGATAAATCCACATATAACAGACATATTTAGACTATATTTTGTTAAATAGGCACAGATTTAATTTCTGTCTTAGTCACTAGTAATTTCAAAAGCAAACCTTTTCAAAGTGGAAAAAATGTCCTAATTCATCAGAGTCGCTGATGCTTAAAACATTGATAAACAGCATCTAGTGTGTAACGCTTATAAAATTTGTATAAATGTAGGAAGAAATGCTGCTTTTCTCTTTAAACGAAATACACCCTGATTTTCACGTCAAGCATAAAAAAACGAGCTCGCATATTGTTGCATAGGACCAATGACATCAGACCAATAGTGTCCCTACCAAAATAAAAATCAAACCTACGCCCTTAGCCTAAAGGTTAGGAGGGATAATTTGCATTTTACTCTTGTTAAATGTAATGTGACTAAAACTGAGTGCTTCTGCATTGTGACATGGCGTGTTGTCTTAATTGTGATTATATTGCAAATACAATTCACTGCCCAACCCTAGTCCCACCTATAATGTGGATACTTTGTTGTTTGCTACAGTTTGTTCTTAACTATTTGATCCAAATAATTGATATTAGTCCTTGAAGGTCTGAAATACAACTTGTTAAATAAAAGTCGTAATTTTTAAGAAATTTAGAGTAGGTAGGGAGAAAGTAACTTAATTTTCTTGTTGTAAACTCTGATATTGACATAATCACAATCAAATGGATTGTAAGACTTCTTAGTTGAAAATCCATAGGACAGTCAATTTAAACATTTTATTTAATGGATAAAAACAAACCAAATGCTATTAGGATGCAGGAGCTTTACACAAAAAAGAAGTCCATAAACTTTAAATAAAAATGTTTTTAAAATAATTTTCTGTATTTAAAAAAAATGTATTCAAGTGTATCTAGTTATCTTTTTGACCACAATTGCTCCTTGCATGGATATTATGGATTACTTTGCTTCTTACTTATCATACGTTCATCCCTGGACAGCTGGCAACAGCTATCATATGATCTCAGGGTTTTTTTTATGTCATAGTCAGTAGCAGTTCAGAATTAATCAAACTGGCTGTATTGTGACCAAATATTGTCTTTGCCTCTCCAGCACACCCCTGGAATGAAGAAGCAGGTTGCCTGAACAGGTCAGCAGTCTGTCACAAGCCATTTGATGAACTGGTGATAAAAAAACAAACAAACACATACGCACAAACTTCCTCCTGAAATCAATTCGGAATCGACTTATTGACCTAACCTAACATTTTTGCCTCTTTTTCTTGAATTTAGGGAAAAGACAAACATTCCACATATTGTAACATTA